AGTCTGAAATTTAAACGCAAAGTGATATTGTTAACAACTCTTACTGGTGGGGTATTTTATTGTTCTTGATATAATTCATTAGTTGAATCTACTACTAATCTAAATACATCCAATAGCAGATAGTCCAGGAGGCCATTTCATTAGAGAAATGCTTTGCTAATTATAGTTAGAGGAGGTCTAGTATTTCTTTCGTTTTACTTACTTCTAATGAATTTAATAGTCTAACAGTAGAATGTAGGCAAGCATCTCCTCTGAGTAAAGATACTAGGGCCAGACCAATGATTTCCTAATCATTAAGTTCCTTACCTCTCCTCAGGACTTGCAGAATGGTGTCTACAAGTTTCTAAGATTTACTTTAGACTGCATAGTTAAGAACTATATCCTAGGCTAGTAAGTGCGCATGCTTATGCAGGATTTATGCACACTGAAACTCTTACAAATCCCCTTATTCTATTGATTTTAACTTAGTTACAGCGTCTTGATCATGAGTAGAGATCACTACATACTCAACTTCCTTAGTTGTCGTCATTTAAGGATTGCTAATCACAGTTAAGGTTGGTTAAACTTCTAAATTCTTGATCTATGTTGAAACAGCAATGGACTCTGATAGTTGATCAATCCTCTATCTTTTGATTGATCTAGTCATCTATAGTTCCTCCTCTAAAGTTGTTTCATGATTAAATCTCTTGGATCCAGTCTTAATCATATCAATCTATGACAAGCTATCACAGGGCATCACATCATTGAAGTCTAGGAAATCTTTAATACTCCCTTGATCAAGATTACCATAATGAGTTTTATCAACCTTTACCTCAATGTCAATGCTTAACTAATGGCATTTCAAGCAAATAGTTCTGTTTTCACGGCAGAACTAGTCATATCGTTTGTTAATGTTGCACTAGGTGCACCTATATGACTTCTTAGGACCTTGATATCCATTCTCAACTATAGGAGGATTAATATACATTTGACTATGAAAATATGATAAGCCATTGGAATAATTTTCTTCCACTGGTCTTCCCTCTGGTCAAGACCAAAAGAAGAATTCTTCCTCT